AATCATAAAATAATGTCTGTCGCTCAGTTTTCCTACGGTGAAAATAATTTTCAGCCTTAAAAACAATTCCTTATTTTGCAATTCAAGAAAAAAAGTACTGAAATTATCAACAATGAACTTTATATGTATTTATAGTGCAGATGTTAGTCTTCACCTAAACAAAATATGGACGCCGTTCTTTTTCACTGTATGATTTATTTTACTGTTGCCTATTCCCTGAGAGTATAGATCTTTCATAGATATTCATGCTTTATTCCGAAATGTGCAGAATTGTGCACATTAATACAATTAATTCTATTTGATACCGCTTTTGGCCTGGGACAGAACTGCTGCTAATAGATAGTGAATGTAATGTATACCCCTTATTGTATTATACAATCGTTGACTTTTGATGAGGTTGATATAATGATTTATCACCCCTAGAGATATGATATTCACCGAGGCCAATGGCCGAGGGGGAATGTCATATCTCTGGGTTGATAAATCATTGTATCAACTGATATCAAAAGTCAACAATAATTGTTGTTTTATTATATGGCTTTTTTAATCCATCTCCATTTTTTTAATATTTGCTCTTGCTCTAACTTCTCCGTGTTTTTATACTAAGTATATAATCTGCCTTGGTAGTTGCTAACTTTTTTAAGTTGATATACTGGTGAACAATAAAATCTACTAAAACATATTTCATCAGTGGAAAGAAGAAGAGAAACGAGAACTTGAGTGACTTTGCCTAGGAAAATAACTTTTTAGGTACACGTTACCTATTCCAAATCTTATATTAACCTCTCATTATTTTTCCCGCGGTGAATATGATGTTTTCTCAAAGAAGATCACTAATGGCTTTAGCCAATGAGAAAAGAGATATTGTATGGTCATATAATAATATCTCATATTGTCTCTTTGGCTCGGACATGGGGTGTGTGAAATAATGGACAAACTATAATTACATGAACGTTTGATATATGTTTATGAACACAAAAAGTCAAACAGAAAATTCAATTTCTTTTTTAACCAATCGTTCAGTAATAAAAATGCTTCTCTTTTTTCAAATAGTCCATTCACCGTTTAGAAATTAACGTTAGAACGATTATATAAATGACTATGGATTTTTTTATTTAGTTGAGCCGACTTGATCTGCATGTGATTATATATTCATTTACACGAAAAGTACGATACATAAACAGGGTATCAGGAATTTCCAAAAAAGTTTGACAGTTCAGAAGACAACACAATATACTATAACTAGCACCCGACTCCTCCGAGAAAATAGACAGATAAAGATAAACAAAAATAAAATGTGTTTCATGATGATAGCAAGTTAATCAGTGTAATCAAGGGTATAGAAAACCAATGCTGACAAATATTCTGATGGCAAATGTCAGTTGTTTGTCAACTGAAGTTTTGATTGTTTTGGCTTTATGCTGCTTTGTTTTTTTTTTTGTATGATCATTTCATGCGTATTTTATTTGCCAATCGATTGGTCTCGAAAAATTCAGATAACTTGAGCTCCTAATACTAGACTTCATGCATCATGACGCAAATATAAAGGTGGCTAGTTTATTTTGTTTCCTTCAAAATGAAAAAAAAAAAGATATTCAACAACAAATCAAAGCAAGAAAGCACTTGCTTATTGATGTAATAGCTATTGTTTTTTTGCGCAGCATATGTTTTGTCAGACACATAAATCATTCGTATTTCAAGGTTTTCATACACACTATCTGAAAACAATACACAGATTCTTCAGTATGATTCACTACTTGGGTTATAAGAAGCAACATCTTGCTCTCCGTGTTTATCATATGAAGATTAAACAGTACAAATACTTTTCTTGGGCTTGGGCTTGTCATCTTTGTAGTAATAGTCAGAATGCTTAATGTTAAACTGATTATCATTGTTACTGCGTGTATGTAGATATGTCATCTCTGAAAAACAACATCAATAAAAGTAATTTTACGCTATTTTATATTGCAATATTTACTTCCTTTAGGAAAAGACTTAGCAAATTATCTTATTCCCGCTTATTCTTTAACATTACATAATCTTTTTTTTAAAAGTCAAATTAAACAGCAATCTTTCGGAAGTTGTATTTGTATGCACGTATGGGGCTTGCTACTTAACTCATTTGCGCAGTTTGCAAAAAACTCCGATGTAGGAGTATCAATAATGGATTCAAATTAATCCAAGCACTGGGTAAAAGATTTTAATTAATTTAAACAAATAGGAACAAGACTAGAAACGGAAGTTGAAATGAATTTTCTATCACACTGAATGGATTAGGCTAATTTTTTCATCCTTTTAGTTGGTACTTGAGATTTTAAGAGCTTGTCAATATACTTTTCTTCAACAAAGTGCATGCTTTGCATAAATGATGTTTCACTCATTTTTACTGTAATCATTCATATCTTTTTTTTTCACTAGGCATTCTCACTGATGTGTTTTGAGTTACACTCAAACGTGCATTCGCTTGTACATCATGTTTTAGCAAAGGAGAGGGTACATATGATAAGGCCACTTAATTGGCCCCATTTTTTTTAAATAAAAAAAATATCTTAATTCTGTCAAATAACTTTCTTCAAATCTTCATAAAATATTAGTCTTTCAGATCCGTATCAATATTTTTATTTACCTTTACACTTCGTGCATTTAAAAAAACTCAGCAAACATAGCCTCATTTGATATCTTGTCATTTATATTTTGATATGAGCAATAGCCTTTCCCCCAAAAAAATTGATTTGCTATAAGGTACATTTTGTACTTTATACAATAACATTAGTGGTGCCAATTTTTCTGCACAATTTTTCTGCACCAGATGGACATTTCGACAATAATTGTCTCTTCAGTGATGCTTGAGGCCAAATTATTTGAAAATCCAAAACTTATTAAAAAAACAACGAAGAGCTTATAAACCAAAAAGGACAAAAAAGTAAAGCCAAAGTTAGGCAAAATCCTTAATGTAAGTCAAATTTCTTGTTGGGTAATGCTGTTGCTCAAATTTAGTTTTGTCAAAAGTTTGTGTTGGATTTGCATTTTTAAGTCGAATATGTAATTTTACACATGTTAAAGACACCATTACTGATATTTTTGCGTTTGAGTGAACAGATTTTAGTATCCTTTTTATAATATATTTACCAATGACATTAACAAAATATTGCAACGATTAAAGAATTTTACAATTTTTTTCTGGTGCCAAATAATGTCTTTTCTCTTAGTTACATGTACCTCTATTTATATACACGGATGAAAATAATCATATTGCAACTAAGTTTAAACTTTATAACAAATACAGTACTAGTATTTGTTGTGGAGGTGTGTTTCCACTTGCATTTTAAAATTTTTTAAAGCAAACAAGTTTAGAAATATCCATTCGAATTGTTCTTTATGGCTTAAAGACTCATTGATAAAGTCAGATTACAATTAAAATACGTGCTTGTCATTGAAAAACAAACAACGCCATGAACAGTATAGGGAAACTGCTCCACAAAATTGAAGTATAGAAAAAATTTCACAAACCCGTTTCATTTTATGAATAAGCGATCGGATTGCCAACTGTTCTATTTATCTTTTAAAAATGACCTCTGCGAGCTATTTATCAATATATGTTTACTTGACACATCAATTTGAGCAGAACCAGAAACTGTTAAGATGACAAGATTTCAGAATGAAACATTCTTATCAAATTAGTTTCGTCAATCAGTCAAGTAGACTTCAATAACGAACCTAAATGGCTACTTTTCTTCTTTGTATAAACTCACATTAGACAATTGTTTGTTTGATGGGCTATGAATCAGGACTTTCAAAGTACTGTTAAGGTTAATATCTAAATTAAGAACTTTGAAGGTTTATAACTCAATCAGAAAAAAATATATGCTTTTATTTAACATTAACTTAAGAACAGGAAGAATAGAATGAAATCCGGTATAACAGGTTTAATAACTCCTGCATATGTATCTTCAAAAACAGTATTAGAGTTTGTCAATAAAAATCAACGAGCACAGGATTAAAATACGCTATTAAATCAGTATACAAATCTTCAAACTTTTATTTTATAACTTTATTCCTCTAATACTTCTTTTGAAGAGAGACTATTCGCTTGTTAAGGAGGGATTACTAATTCAATATTTTTGCTGATTATATAAAACATCATGACAAATGTGATAATTAAACTTGCTGCTCTCTTTGATGTTGTTTAACATTTAAGGCCATGTGTTTAGCCTGACATTGTGAAACAAACACTTATTTAAAATGATTACTGCAGAAACGTTATGGATTGACAACTGTTACTTTTGTGGTGATTCCAAAAAAAAACCCCATTTCACAATGAGCGACCTATAATAGTTAATTTCTACTGCAAAAATCAAGTTGTTATATCTTTAAACTAATGACAGGATTGGTCCGAATTTTCCCAAATGTTTTTGACATAATTAAGAAAAGCAAATTTTGTACATTGGAAGAATTTCGAGCCAACTATTAAATTTTGAAATTTTGTTTTCTTTTATTCAAAATGCAATGTGTTAACACTTGTAGAAAGAGAACGCGAACGTTTCCTGTTTTCTGCCCCACACACAATGTCAAAAACTTTAACATTCCTGAATTTAGATTTTCGATATTTTCCTGCAATAGTATTACTGGTAGTTAAGATTCCAGTAAATGGTTAAATTTTCAGAATAATTTAAACGCAAGTAAGGGGAAACGAGATGGTACGTTCTTAGTATTGCTAAGTTTCCTATGAATGCGATTTAACTTATGAATAAATTTCTTTATAATATGATATAAACATTTGATACAAGATTCGATTTTACCATCAATATTCATTGTACACTGACCTCTTATTAACGCATAATGTTGACTATCACAAGTGAAGCGTTGCCATTTATTGTTAGAAGTGAAAGCTTTATTGAATTAAGCAATATCTCTTACTTGACATGTATTTCCGATATGTTGTTTTATTGAGAAGCAGGTCAACTAACATGTCTGATCGGCAATATCTTGTCTATTTTCAGTTGAGAGTGACCAAGATGCCACCTACACAGCCCAAGCTGTTTGAAAGGGGAAATAACTCGACATGTACAGATTCCATTATACCAATTAGCAATAAACAAATTTCGTGACAAAGTATATACTTCGCTATATTGTAATTTGTCTTAAAGAATCTTTTTATGTATTTTAGTGAAATGTAATTTGATTTTCGAGCCTGCTGACATTTAATTGAAAGGATGCTAAACTATCACCTCAGTCCCGGCAATCTAATTAAATGTTTGTTAATATGTTGTGTAGGACTAAGTGCGTCCGGTAATGGCGGACATAATAAGTTGTTTAAAAGCTGCTTCATTTCAGGAATATTAAGTCACGAAACATTTAGAATGACAGAAGAATGATTTTTGTTCTAAAACTGTTGATGTATTGAGTATGCACACGAGGAATGTAATTATTATTTAAGGAGAAAGTTGTTTTTCTCTTTTTTTCTATTTTAATCATTTGTTTTTTGTAACCTTTAGTTCAATTTATTTCGAATTCTAAGAAGGTTTTTCTGTCGGTATACCGAATGATAGAGATGGCAAGTACTTGTATGACAATTCATAGACTTATACATACGAACTTAACTTTTTGATTTTTTAAAGTCTATGGTTGATAGAAATTACAATATATATATGTATATTGAAATATAGTAAGAGAACAGTATAGAATTAAAGATTTGTTATTCTATTCAAAAAACTTAATTGGTCCGTTTACTTTTCAGTGTTTTGTGATTGGTAAATAACATTGAAAGTCAGATATTATTTTGTGATGCACTACTATAATGGAGATTTATAATATTATATATATATATATATAGCAGATTTAAAAAGTATTTTCAAGGAAAATAAAATGCTGATTTACAAATAGTGTGTCGGTTTCTTTGCACGCAACTTGGCAGTATGTTTTAATTCTAAACGGCAAGGTGGTCTCGTGGTAGCGTGATCGCCACGATTCCGGAACTGGGAACTCGTAGGTTCGATCACAGGTCAGCTGAAATCAAAGACTTTGGTCATTTGCATTTGCTGTCTTTCTTCAGCACGCGGTATTTAAAAGTAAAACAAAGATAGAATCTATTTAATTCCGACAATCCCACGATTGTCGGGTCATGCTACGTGTGTATTTAAATATCTTCGATTTACTTATTCTCTGTTTAATTTTCAGAAAAGGTACTTGAACTTTTATTTAACAAGTTAAAGTCGTAAATGGTCGATATCATCATTTATACTTCAAATAGTAACTACTCCATGATCATAATAACAATACAAGAACGCACGTCTAATAGAACGACAATATCACTTTCAGTGAAATGAAGGGTATCTCAGAAATTACAAATCGCATTACTGCAAAATCATTCGTACAATTACCGTCGTGCACCTGTATTTGTAATTTGAATATTTATAGAAAAAGGTAGATATTATAACATCAAATTATCCTAGCTGAAGACCTTTCGATAAAAACTTGTTTTAATTGATTGCATGAACCGATCACAAGTTCAAACATGTATTTATACAATAAAAAAAAATATATAAATATAAAAAAAAAAATTACGATGATGAAACAGCTAAGCAATCGCCACACCGTATAATAAGCTATAAAAAGGCCTGGGCATACCAAAATGATAAACAATTCAAAACAGAAAACAATATTAACAAAAAACAAGTATGATTTCAAAATAAGAAGAATCAGATGTGGTATGATTGCCAATGAGACAACTCGCAACTAGAGGCCAAAATGACGTAGAAGTTAACAACTATGGGTCACCATACGGCTTTCAAAAATGAACAAAACACATACCGCAAAGGAAATTAAAAAAGGCCCCGAAATGCCAAATGTAAAACAGTTGAAAAAAGAAAACAAACGGCCTGATGTATGTGCAAAACAATGAACGAAACACAAATATTATATTTAGTAACAACAGAAAGCCACTAAATTACAGGCTCCTGACTTGGGACAGACATATATATATATATAACCGTTTCGATTCCTAACATCACTGAAGAGACATTAATTGTCGAAATCCGGATATGGTGTACAAAAAATCTTTGCACCTTTGTTTGCGGTATACCATCTTCGCCGAAAGTTTATTGTTTTCTGTTTGGTATTAAATTTATAGTTAAGATCCATTTATTACACCTTGTGATTCGTTTATTTCGCAATAGCCAGTGGCAGTCATCAGCAGGATTTAAGAACATTTGTTGTTCGACCTGTTAGTCAAATGCGTTTTGTTAAAATATACTTTAAATTTTCACTTTTTTGGTCTTTTGGAAAATGTTGTTTGTGCTGTATTTAGACCCCTCTAACAAAAAATTTGTTTTACATGCACACGCGTAAAAATTGCGGTTTTTATCCAACGCAATCATAGGTTTGAACGTTCAAACCTATGATTGCGATATATATATATACAAGTCTAAATTGAAAACAACGTTCAAACCTATGATTGCGATATATATATATACAAGTCTAAATTGAAAACAACGTTCAAACCTATGATTGCGTTGGATAAAAACCGCAATTTTTGTACGTGTGCATGCAAAACAAATGTCTTTGTAGAGGGGTCTAAATACAGAACAGACAACATTTTCCGAAAGACCAAAAGAAGTGAAAAAGTATATTTTAACAAAACGCATTTGACTAGCAGGTCGAACAACGGATATATATTTGGCTTTCGTCAAGTGCATGTATGGATTTTGTATCAAAAACTAATACACCCTTCATTAATGGCTGGAATTTTTGCATGATGATATATATTGCGTTTCTTTATTTCAGTCTACATTTCATACGAGCTAATTTAGAAATCGTCTACACCATTGGCAATTGTTTACCAAAATAGATACCGGATATCAAGTGGACAATCAAAAATTATAAGTGAAAAAAAAAAAACAAAAAAAAAACAGAAAATGCCATGGCCAAAAAGAAAAACTATGTCGATGGTTGCTCTCCATCATATTTGTTTTTAGGTTTATGTTTTATCTCTTTATAATTTTTTTTTTTTTATTTTATTATACCGTGTATAGCCTAATCTAACGGGATTGGTTTTGCTTATTGTTAAATGTCGTTGGTTCTTATGGAAATGCTGAAACACTTTATCTTAACGTCAGAAATATGTTGTGAATAAAAATAATCATGCATCTTGACTGCATCTTGAATAAAATACAAAAATAAGTAAGCAATGAACGAGGTTGTTAAATGTGATATATGCTTTTTTGTGCTTCTTTGTTAAATATTTGTTTGTTTTTGTTGTGATTAAGATTGTGACACGGTGTTGACTGCTGTACCCCTATTTTGACATTTTTACCTATTATGTCTGTTTGTTTTATTCACGCATCAATGTCAATGGATGGAATTTGATGCGACTGTCATACAAGTGAGAGGTTTAGCGCTATAAAACCAGGTTCAATCCACCATTTTCGACATAAGAAAATGCCTGTACCAAGTCAGGAAAATGACAGTTGTTGTCCATTTGTTTGATGTGTTTGTGCTTTTGATTTTGCCATTGATTAGGGACTTTCCGTTTTGAATTTTCCTCGGAGTTCAGTATTTTTGTGATTTAACTTTTGACTATGCTAGATTTAGCTTGTTTTTTCAGATAAGAATTAATCCTTTTCTAAAACAAGAAATTTGTTTCTACTTTGGCCATTCTTTTTTATAAAAAAAATATTTAATTTGTATTTAGGTTTAGAATGAGGAATACTTTTGTAAAAGGAAGAGAGGTCAGATTTTTTATATATAGACAGAAGGAATGAGCGTGAGATTTATATATTCTAAATAAATCGTTCGATCTGTTTGTATCCACATCTGATTTACACCTTCCAATGAGTAGATAGTTTCACAGTTGTGATTGCTGATGAAACAGATGTTAACAATTTGGAAAGAGATTTCTTGGAGCATTTGGAATACCCAGCAAAATCAAGTCGTTCGTAACATGTATGTAATTTGACTATGCAGTGCAATGAACTTTCAAGATCAAGTTCTTTATCTTCGGTTGCAGTTCTAAACAACAATAATACAGACATTAATTATGATTGTTTACCACTGCCTCGTTAGTAGATGTCCCGAAAGTTTATGTTGGGGGCAAGAATATAATTCTCATGGAGGGTAGACAAGGTTTAAGCAACATTCGGGTCGCTTAAGATTGATGCAGTATGACTGATCATAGACCTATTACACGGTAGGTATAGCGCTGGTTTGCATCATATAGTGTCTAATTGAGATCGTATTTTTTTCTAGAGAATTATTCGTGTTTTTATCGAGTGTGACCAGGTTTTTTTCGTGTGAATAAGATGCGAAATTTAATCAAATCGACATCTTTTCTTATAAGGCGTGAAACCGAAATCTAAAATAAATAAAGGTCCTTAGAACATGTGCTAAAAAGTTCTTAACAACCACACATTATTTGAAGTTATATAAGTTGAATATATCTTTAGAATGCTTTTATTCCTAAATGGGAAATAAAGCCATTTTGATACGCATACGAATGTTCAAATAAAATAAAATTGCGTTCATAGAATTTATATATCCTTACATTTACACACACTTTACAGAAACACTTGTAATTTGATGAATAAGAGATTAAGGACATTTTGTGATTGATTACATTAATATCTATATTCCCGGGTTTCGTTCGAGAACAATTGGGGTTTTTAGTAGCATCCAGGTTTTATCGAGTTTATCTTTACGACGTTTGTCGTTTTGACCAGGGTGTTGTCAGTTTCTATTGGACTTATGATTTTTATTGACCCCTTGGTGTTTTCTTTTTTTCTAACAATTGAAAAGGATACATTTCTGTATTATTTTTTTTTAGAAATCAAACTTTAAGTGTGCGACAAACAATTTATAAGAAACATTAATGATAACAAGTTAAAAACAAAGCAAATTTACAACGAACTATGAGTTCCCGGTCGTTAGTTCTATTGACCGTTATGGCTTCATCATATTGATAGGTTATGGTAAAATGTACTCATGGACAGTTGGCATTACATTGAAAAGGGTTACATAACATAAGCAACACGACGGGTGCCACATGTGGAGCAGGATCTGCTTACCCTTCCGGAGCACCTGAGATCACCCCCAGTTTTTGGTGGGGTTCGTGTTGCTTAGTCTTTAGTTTTCTATGTTGTGTCATCTGTACTATTATTTGTCTGTTTGTCTTTTTATTTTTGGCCATGGCGTTGTCAGTTTGTTTTCGATCTATGAGTTTGACTGTCCCTCTGGTATCTTTCGTCCCTCTTTTACATTTGATGAACATTATAGATATATGTTTTAGGTTATTGTCCTTCACTTAATTACAGAAATGAAATGTAAAAAGGTCAGTTTTAAAGGTCAAGAAAGCCTTATTTCATGATCGTAGTCTAAAAAAAAAAACGCGGACCAGTTTTGAAACAAATCCGGAAAATATGACCTATAGTACTCCAAACAAACCGAAAGATGTAAAAAGCTTGAATGTAAATGAAATAGAAGACACTTACATGTATGCGTAGTTTGTGTTCAAAAATGGAACATTGATAAAGATAAGTTGGGAAATATTGAATAAAACTGATATATTTGCGAAAAAAGAGTACATCGATTTGACCGTTAGCAATTTTACTCGAAAAACACTGTTCTACACAAAAAAAGTGTCAAAATTCACAAACAAAAAAAAAACAAAATCCCAACCGCACACTATACGTACCGTGTATTAAGTTTTTGAATTATGATTTGTATTCCATTCTCAGTTTAATATATTATTACAGTTTGAAAACGTTCAATTTGTGTGTAGTTAGTTACCACCTAAACAATTATAAGTTGATGTATCAAGATGTATTTTTTGATAGTATTTATCCCTGTCCGACAACAGCATTTCCTCAATTTTATTCAGCACACGAAAT